GTCAACAAATACGTAACACGATGAGTTTAATAAAACATGTCTCGAATTAGCATGGTTGCAAATTGGAACCAGTACTGTAATAATTAGGGCAAAAATAAAAGAGTGTATTTTACGTTTTAGCTTTTAAATACTATAAAAAATGGTAGAAAGTGCATAACTTGTAATATTTATTAAATATCACATATTAAAACATGCATTAAAAATGAAACAAGCTATAGATTTTCCACCACTCTTTACCTCTAAATCTATTGTTAAAAACAATTTCTGAAAATATTATCATTTAGAGCTGTATTTTTTGTGATAAAAAGTCGCCGTCACTTGTCATTGGTAACGCGTTGAACTTGGACTTAACGGTACAATTTTTCACCTTAAGATTTTTTTATCCAGCACTTTTTTTAATTTATAACAAACCTCATTCAAATTGTTCGTGTTTCTGGTTTCTTATCCTCTGGCTTTACCGCTACATCTGGTGTCCCTCAAGGTTCACATTTGGGACCTCTACTTTTTAATATATATATAACAATGACATCCAAAATTGTTCTAAGAATTCTCAGTTCCTTTGCTTTGCTGATGATTTAAAATTATTCATGCGTGTAAATTCCTTACATGATTGTATTTGCCTTCAAAAAGACTTGGATAACTTGGTCCAATGGTGTAGTACTAATGGAATGGAATTAAATACAAGTAAATGTCATGCAATCAATTTCAACAGAAAACATAGTCCTATTGAATATATCTATAAAATCAATGACATAACACTGGATACTATTACAGACGTAAAAGATTTGGGAGTGATATTAGATTCCACCCTTTCTTTTCAAACTCATATAACGGCCTCAGTTAATAAAGCATTAAGAATGTTGGGTTTCCTTAGAAGCACTACTTCTGATTTTCATAATGTGATGTGTTTAAAGATTCTTTATTGTGCCTTAGTTAGACCTTATATTGAATATGCTTCTTCTATATGGAATCCTTTTTATGTATATCTAATCCATAATATAGAACAGGTTCAAAGAAAATTTTTACGCATTGTTGCATTTAAATCGGGTATTGTCCCGGTCAACTTCAGATACAATTATGACGAATTACACACACTTTGTCATCTTGAGACCCTTCTGAGCAGAAGAAACCAAAGGGATCTTAAAATATTGTTTAACATTATTAATTCATCTGCCGATTGTCCATACTTGTTATCCCAAATTGGATTTTCTATACCCTCTAGTAACTAGGAATATTAATACATTCTCCCAACCTTTTCATAGAACAAATTATGGTTCTCACTCTTTTATTCCTAGAGTAACAAGATCTGCTAACAGACTAAATGTAGAATGAATTACTTCTCCATCAGATTTTTCTAACCATTTATGTATATGTGAGGAGTAGATTTTTAATTGTTTTCAATTGTTTTTAATATTTATGTATTTAAATTAATTTATTATTATTTAGGATTTTATTACTATTTAATGTATGTAATATGTATTATCTGTAATTGTATTGTTTTAATGGGCTCTGACCCGTAAATAAATAAATAAATAAATAAATATATTTATAGATTTTTTTTTTAATAGAAAACCCTAATGTACAAATATTAATTTAAAAATATAATAAAAAATGTTATAAGTAATAAAATTTACAATAGAAAGTAGTAAAGATAATTACTTTTAACCGAGCTTTTAACATATATAATACATAAAATTAAAACATATAAACGTTACATATTATTATGCTGTTCATGAATGAATTTAATTAGGCTGGATTTACAGCTATTTACAGAATTACTATTTTTAATAATATCAGGAAGTTGATTGAAACTATGGAAGCCTCTAAAAAAGAGACAGTTCCTTGTACTGGCTCTATTAGCTCTATAGTAAAATGTTATTTCTAGTTGCGTACTGGTGAATATTACTATGATGAAAAATATAATCATCAAAGTAGGCTGGTGGAAGATTATTTAGAATTTTGTAGATTGGTGTTGATCTTGTTTAACCAGTGAAGTGAAGTTAACATTAAAACAATAAGTGTGTAACAATTAGTTTTTATAATTGTTCTCATACCTCTGTTTTGAAGTTTTTGTAATTGACTAGTTTTATTATCATTAAAAAGAAATAATACGGATGCACAGTAGTCAAAAATGAGGTTGTATTATCATGTTATATACATTTAACTTAGTTTCAGTTGAAAGATGTTGAGAAATTCAAAATTCTACTAAAAAAGAATAACTTTTTGGAAATTTCATTATAAATATAATTAAAATGAGAGTCTAAGGATAAAATATTATAAATGTAAAAACCAAGATATTTAAAATTTGAAACTATTTCAATATTTTCATTGTTCATCATTAGAGATATATATCATTTAATTTAATTTTGCTATATTTGTATTTATTTGTACAGATCATAGCTTTGGTTTTAGCAACATTAAGTTTTAGTTTATTATTTTGCAGATATATGCTAATTCAATATTGAATTCATTTTATTCACTGCTACTTGCAAATCTATATCAGTGCATATTATAAGCATATCGTCTGCAAATAAGTTTATAAACTCTATATCTACATACAATTGTATATCATTGAGATATAAAATAAACAAAAGAGGTCCTAGATCACTCCCTTGAGGAACTCCTGTATCAACATAAATTTTTAAAGAGCATGTGCCATTAAACTTTACTTGTTGCTTGCGATTATTTAAATAGTTATAAAACCAATTAAAAACTTTACCATTACCATATTGCAACAGCTTATTGAGTAGGAGTCCTCTATCAAGTGTCTCAAAGGTTCTCTTTAGATCTAAAAATACACATACGGAATACTTATTATTTTGTAATTTTACATAGTGTTAATTGTAGTGCTGTTTCACATGAATGTTTATGCCTGAAACCTGATTGGTGAGTGATTAATATATCATGAGATTCAATATGTTCAACCAATTGCTCAATAAGCTTCTCAATAGGTGGTAATGTATTAATAGGCCTAAACTCATAGGCCTTATTGGAATTCTCGACTTTTTGTATTGGAACAATGGTGCTAATTTTTAACACATCTGGAAAAGTGCCCATTTGCAAAGAAGTGTTAACCAGATTTAAAATTACATGTCCAACTGTTTGAATTTAAAACTTCATTAAGAGAGAATTTATTGTCAAAGGAATCAATAATTTTCCAAAGGTTAACTAATGATAAAGGTTTAAAAGAAATTAAAGGTGGATACAAATTACAATTGGTATTACACAGTTAAAACTTTCAACTATATTGTTAACGCTTTCAACAAAATAAGTATTAAATCTCTCTGCAGTTTCAAAAGCTGAGCATATTTCCATTAGGACCATTGAAATTTATGTTAAATGATGAATTATATGTATTTACCGAGGTATTTACATTGATTAATTTTTTTAACGTCCGCCACATTTCCTTTGGATTGGTTTTATATCTATTAATTTTAGTTTTATAGTAGGATTCTTGTTTTGTTTTTAACATATTGATCACTTCATTTCTATATTTTTTTGAAATATCCCATTTAGCTATTTTACTGCTATCATTACATATTTTAAAGATTTATAGGCAGCATCTCTAGACCTCATCTTAAAATAAGTTTCATTGTTAATCCAAGGTAAAGTAGGCTTAGATAAAATGTCATCATATAGTTCATTAATATTTATTGAATTAAGTGACTATTTACACATAAGTAGGTTTAATTTGATTCTTTCTAAATTATCTGTATTTAAGTTTCTGATTTTTTTTTATATATTGTATTTGCATTACGGTTACTAAAATTAACCGAAATAATAGAATGGTCAATTAATTTAGGAGAGTTATGAACAGCAGCTACAACATTATTTTGGTTTGTTATTACAAAATCAACTAATGTCTCACTAGTATCAGTAATACGTGTTATAAGTTGCTAAAGTCCACAAGTTAAAAAAATGGTTTTTATCTTGTTAGCATAAAAACTATTACTTAAAAGATTCAAATTAAAATCACCTACTAAAACACAGTTACGATTGGGTAAACACACACTATAACAATATTCTTCAGTCTCCAATAAATGTGGCATCAGAGCTGGATTCAAAATTTAATGCTTTCTTTACAACATATCAATATCATTACCTTAATGCGTATGTATCTGTACATTTGATGGATGAATAAAGGATTTATTTATTTATGGAGAATGATATAAACATCCAATATACCAAAATGTAGAGGCGATATTAACTTTATTTTACATCAATAATTTCCAAGTAAAATATAGGTTTTGAACACAGAATATTCAAATCTTTTATGTATAAAATCAAGATTGTTTTAGAACTCTTTTAGCCAGTGCAGATCTTTTAAATTGTATAGTTCAACTTGAAGCTCATCGTGGAAGAGGATTTCATTTAATTTTTGTTTTGGAAAAGATACTTCATAACTGAGATCAAAATACCATTGAAATCCAGTTAGAAACTATTAAAAGCATTCTAGTTGACGATCATTGGGAGTTTTATTGTACAAATTTAAAAATAGAATTACCAATATATGCTTACCTGCTAATACCTGCCAACTCAGTATTTCTGCCCAAAAAAAGGTAGCCGACCTGCCATTTCATTTACATCCTTGTCGCTCGATTGGTATTACATTTTTTGAGAAAAAGAATTACTGTAAACTGTTGATAATTAAAAATAGCCTGTAATGGATATGGGGTGCCAACTCTGTCACGCTGTCTTTATTTATACATTATACTGTATAACATTCATTTAATTAGGTAAAAAGCTGAGGGAAGGTCAATTTAAGTATGGATCTTAGACTATAATGCACCTGCAGCACCTGCTATAGTGAATAAAAACATTCAAAACATAAACAGCATTCATTTTAGATTAAAAATGGATTATAAATTCTCTTAAATTATATAGAATTACCTATATAAAAAATAATTTAAAAAAAAAATTGCTGTATTTTTAAGGATAGGTACTAAACATTTAGTAGTTTTCTATTTATGTTCTTAGTTACGTTTTTATAAATAGTATACCTGGTAAATGTATCATATAATGGACCCATCCTCGACTTTGTTGAACACCAATTCCTCTCCATTCTTCTTCAGACATTAAATGTGTTTTAGGTACTAATTTAACCATTTCTCTAGGAAGGACAACATGCCTGTCGAAAAGTACACATGTTAAACAATGTGAAAATTGTAAATTTACCTATGGTAGCATTTCGCAATGGATTTTCTACAAGTTGAAACTTAGAAGCTTTGCATAAAACTTACCTATACTCAAATTCATCATCATAGTATTTATCCGAGTAATAGATATTTTTCTGCATTTCTTCTCGATTCATATTGTTTAATTTAATATCTATTATAAATTATAATAAAGTTGCAAATTGCTATTCAATAACTTTGTAAATTATTGTCTAAACAAAGCTATTTTCTAACTCGTTCTCACGTTTACCGTTGACTTCAAGAAATTAAATCTAGTTAGTTTTTTGATACCAATATCAAAAATATACAATTCCTAAAAAAACTTAATTTTAGTGGGTGCGTAGCGGGAGCGACGAACAAAGCCGATGAAATACGAATGTGGTGATGTTGCTAAATTATAACAGAGACAATCCAGCAATAAAAAGTAAATAATTTACGAAAAGTGACAAATCGTAAATAGTAGTTTTTCTACGATCACTAAATGCAAACTTGCAAAGTAGGCTTTTGCGCTTCGAAATCTAACCGCAAAGTTGACGTTTTCCGCGAATTAGCATTAGTGGCTAAGCGACAAAATTGACAGCTTTGTTGCTCGCCTAATTTTAATTAGATATAATACATATTTCTTGTTAATAAATGATTTTCAAGTTATTTAATGTACCTAGTCACATGTTTTTTGTTTTATTATCTAAGTTAACATTGACTTTGAATGTCAACTCCGTTTTTCATGATACGCAGATATAGGCAACACATTATACACTTATACAGAATTTACGACAAATTTTCGGTATTAAAATAAATGTGTTCGTAGAAAAAAAATCTTGTGTGCATTTTTGAGCGGCAAAGTATTACTGTTCGCTCTTAATACACAAATATAGCTATTGTGCAACAAGAGTGGATATGATGGTGGCCATTTCGTAAGAAGAATAAGTTTAAGTACACCGCAGTAGTTGATGATTTTTACTTTTACTTTATGAAATAAGATAAACTTGAAAAAAAGGTTTAATTTAATTAGGACCGATTCCACCGTTGTGTTAAACGGAGATTAAAATGACATTGTTAATGTAGAAATGTCACTTTAAACTTCGTTTAAGACAACGGTGGAATCGGTCCTTAGTCTCCAATCCTAGATATGAGCCCGCCCAACAAACAATAAATTGCCAGGATATTGCTGGCCTTTTGCTGTAATTGAAGGGAAATTGAATGCGACGATTAAAAGATAAAAGCCTACTTTTGGCCTTTCGATAGTGGTATAAGTGTATTGGGTAAAAGCATGGTAAAAGTAAAAAGGCTTTTAACTGCCGCAGACCCAACGCCAACAGTCAAGGAGGGCTCCGTCCCGTATTCATAGATGGAGACACCGATGTTTGCTTGTTAAATACTCAACGAGTGAACAGGTACTATGAGGCCAGTCTCGCATTGCTGGTATTCAATATTCATTGTAATTTTTTATTTTACATGTTAATTTAGAATGTTTCATTAATAATTGTTTTGAAGAAGACATTTTTTCAATATTATTATATTGTAATGTGAGCCATTTCATTATTCAGTCATGCTCTAATACTCCAAGTCCCTCTCTGTATTATTTGGCCTTTGAGGCTCAACTTGTCCGCTTATTATACATAATTGAACCCCTTAAGACCAAACCTATGGGACGACTATGGTGGAGACACTTTCGCGAACATTCCAGGGTCAACGAGATACTGTTTCTAGAACGTGATAACGTTTCTGGTACATATTGGCAATTTTGGTGGGGGAGCATTCTCGACCACCAATTTTGTATATAAATTGGTGGAGGCGAGCCTTCATAATCAGTAGTTATATGGACAGTGCAGATAAATAGTAATTAGTAGATAAACAGTGGTGAATATAAATAGTGATCAGTTTAAAGACATTCGAAGTATATATAAATTAAAATAGTATTGTTTAAAATAAATAAGTGTTTAAATAAATTATTAATAAATAAACTGTTGTTTTAAAATAAACAAACATCACATTGGTGTCGAGAAGTGGAATAGTGTAAATAAATAGTGGACAATAATGGCTAAAAGACTGTGTGATTTGAAAGTGTCTGAGCTGCGTCGAGAGCTAGAACATCGTGATCTGGAGACAACAGGGAAGAAAGCAGAGCTGGCAGAACGTCTTAAGGAAGCACTAGAAAGTGAGGGTTTGGATCCGGAAACGTATCTTTTTTCGGATGATGCATCTTCTGCAATAATTTCTTCAATTTCTTCCGTGGAAAGTAAGATCTCTTCCTTAAAAAGCGAAATGTCTTCTGATATGAGCTCTATGAAAACAGATATTTCTTCTAATATTTCCTCATTGGAAAATAAAGTTTCTTCAGAAGTTTCTTCTATAAAAAGTGATATTACTTCCTTAGAAGGTAAAGTTTCGTCCGATATGTCTTCCTTAGAAGAAAAGGTGACTTCTGACATATCTTCTTTAAAAACCGAAATTTCTTCCGATTTAGAAAACAAAATATCTTCTTTGAAAGATGAAATTTCTTCTGATATGTCTTCGCTAAAAAATGAAATTTCTGCTGATGTGGAAAATAAGATGACTTCCGTTGAGGAGAAAATAATGTGTTCCGTTGAAGAGAAAATAAAAGAGATGGAAAAGAAGATAGAAGAACTCGAACATACAGAACCGGCCAAGGACGGTGAAATAAAGTGCCATGAGGTGGAGTCGAAGGTGAAATTGGAAGGAGCTGTAAACTCTCCTCGTGTTAAGACCCCAACTTTTGACGGAAAGATGTCATGGACGAACTATCTTAAGCAGTTCGAAACAGCTGCCAGAGCAAACGAGTGGTCTAAACGAGAGAAGGCAATAAATTTGACCATCGCCCTTCGAGGAGACGCTTTGGATGTCCTTCAGACTATACCCGTGGAAGAAACAGATGATTTTGAGCAACTCAAAAAGAGACTCAACATGCGATATGGCCACGAACACTTGGAGCAGGTATACAGATTACAGTTGAAGAATCGCAAACAGAAACGTGACGAGAGCCTTCAGGAATATGAAGTAGATATTGCCAGGTTGGTGCGATTTGCTTATCCATTAGCTCCAGAAAACATGATAGAATGTTTGGCTGTTCAAGCATTTGTAGATGGACTTCCGTGACCATGAAATGCAGAGAACACTTCGTTTAGCCCGTCACAAAACATTGGTCGATGTCTTGTCCGCTGCTCTTGAATATGAAGCGGCTACGCTGGCTTCTGGTGGATACAGTGAAGTAAGAACTGTAAAAGAAGAACAGGGAAATAAATTGGACCAATTGTTTCACATGATAAAAAGCCTTATTGAGAAGGAACCGAAGACTATTAGGTGCTGGAATTGCGGTGAAATGGGAAAAGTAAGCAGTTAGCGCAAACGTCCAAAGAACACTACGAATGGAAAAACTGTGTCGGTGGCTGTACAGGAAGGAACGGTGTTACCTGAAAGTAGTGAAACCATACGAGTAAGGCGGTTGCAAGGAACTGAAGAGAAGGCAACGCCTGTCATGGCGGAACCTTCGAAGCGCAATAAAGGTGTTGGTCAAGGAACTCTGATTGGAAAGGGGTTGGCCACATCTGTTAAAGAAGTTACAGTACGAAGAACGTCGGTTGTCAGCGATGAGTGGGCCCCTGTCAAACTTAGGGAAGAACAAGAGAATGATTCCGTTTTAAAGAAGCTACGAGACTGGAAAGAGGAAAATCGTCGACCTACTTGGCAAGAAGTATCGAAATTCTCTCCAGTAGTTAAATCATATTGGGCTCAGTGGGACTCCTTTATCCTGGAAGATGGCTTATTAAAGCGAATACTTGAAAATGATGATGGTTCCGAGAACAGAAGACAGTTGGTCATTCCAAGAAGTAGAGTAGCTGAAGTATCCGTCAGTTACACGACAGTCCATCAGGAGGACATCTCGGTGTTAAGAACCCTTCAGAGAGTTCGGGAAAGGTTTTACTGGATGAACAGTTCCGATGATGTAAAGGACTGGTGTAAGAAATGTACCACCTGTGCTATGAGTAATGGACCTCAACGAAAAAGGAAGGCTCCCATGAAGCAATATAACGTTGGTAGCCCATTTGAGAGGATTGCCTTAGATATTGCTGGACCATTCCCCGCGACTGAGGATGGTAATAAATACATTTTGGTGGTTATGGATTATTTTACAAAGTGGGTGGAAAGTCTATGCCATTCCAAATCAAGAGGCCGCAACTGTTGCAGATGTATTGATAAAAGAGTTTATCTGTCGATTTGGAGTGCCCTTGGAGATTCACAGTGACCAAGGTAGAAATTTTGAAAGTCAACTTTTCCGTGGAATCTGTGACAGACTAGGCATGAAGAAGACCAGAACCACAGCATTGCACCCACAATCTGATGGAATGGTAGAGCGAATGAATAAGACCATTGGCAAATATCTGTCAAAAGTGGTTTCAAACCATCAGAGAGATTGGGATCAGTATCTTTCACTCTTTGCAATGGCTTATAGATCCGCTGTCAATGAATCAACAGGCCAAACACCAGCAAAGGTCTTGTTTGGGCGTGAGATGAGACTACCGTGCGACCTCGAGTTTGGATGCCGACCTGGAGAAGATGTAGCTGGTGAAGAATATGTGATCCAGTTACGAAGAAGAATGGACGACATACATGAATTAGTTCGCTCGCATCTTCAAATCGCTAGCGACAGAATGAAGAAGCGATATGATACCCAAGCCATGGAGGGAGGTTTCCAGGAAGGCGACAAAGTCTGGCTCCATAACCCAAAAAGACAAAAGGGTTATTCTCCGAAGCTTCAAAGGTCTTGGGAAGGTCCGTACCTCATCAAGAATAAAATAAATGATGTAATTTACCGTATAAGTAAGATTCCAAACGGTAAACCAAAGGTAGTGCACCAAAACAGGCTGGCGCCATTTGAGGGTGACCATAAAGAAGAAATAAACCAACTTCAAGAAACACCAGACCTTGTCTTTGAAGAATTTATGGGTGCACATAGAGGTACTGGAAAAGCCAGATATGGTGTTACGACCGAGCAACAACAAGATCTGCTCTCGCTTCCGAAAGGCTACTCGCTGGTCCATAGTACTTCCGCCAGCATCAACGACGCGCGAGGACTGGCCTATGTGTTCCGTAAGAAGTTTGG